CTGTGACTGCCCCACACAGCTTGGTGTAGAAATAGAAGGTACTGTGAGGTTTTCTAGGAAAAAGAAACTTGCTTCCCAGCAGAATTTCTGAATTGATACTTTCCTTCTCTGTCCTGCCTGGAAGTCAGCTGCAGCAGAATAAAGCAGTTTAGTGAATATATAATCCCATGTTCAACCAGACTTACCTATTTAATTGTCCTTGCAGCACCAGGTTTGGTGTTGTCCCAGTCAGAGTTGCAATCCCTCCAATGCTGGCTGAGTAACAAATACAGAGAGACATTCCTTTGCAGAGTTTCTTGTGTTTCTTCTCTATTGCTTTTTCATTTCTCTTTATGTCTTCCTCAAGTGTCAGGACATGAGAACCTAGATTCCAAGGAACAAAAGAGATGCAGAAGTTAGTTTGGACAGGGCAAGATCTTGTGCCTGCATAATTCAGTATTTTAAGGATGGGACACAACAGACTCAGAGCTGAAGGAGCCAAATTTCCTCATTTTTAGGCTGGTGTTGTTAATTCTGTCATCTTCTGCCCATTTCCACTGGCTCTCTTAATACAGAGCAGTGTTTCAGAAGAGAATTTGAAATGTGTGAAAAGTTTGAATGTACTGAGGACACTTCTTGGTGAACTAGGGCAATGTCTGAGCTGCACGTGGAGGGGAGAGAGGTAAGAATTCAGGGGGGTTACAACAGAGTTGGGGGAGCTGGGCTGAAGGAAACTTGTACTGTACTAGCCTCTGACTGCTGGCACTGAGCTTTATGTTCAGAAACACTGGAGGCTCAAAGATGGGGAGAGGACAAGACAGCTGGTAAAGAGATATAGTTGCTTGATTGTGTAGCTTTGGATTAGAAAGATCATTTTAATCCCTAACCTTCTGTCTTGAAACAGGGCAGAAATTTTCCCTTGGGAATTCTCCATTGTCTGATAAGTTACACAGTAGATAGTAATTCAAGTAACATAATTATATAGGGAAACATCAAGCCTAATCTAAAGATTTTATTCCTCTAGTGGAGAATTTATACTTTTTGTTGGTTTACTGATTAGTTATCACCTCTTTGTATTTTGTATCTATTTCTAACTTCATCCAAATCAGTAGATCTTATTGTGGCTTTGCCTGGTTCCTGGAAGAGCATCATCAGTGCTGTGTGACACCATCATAGAATCAATCAACCGTGTTGGAAAGACCCCAAAGATCATTGAGTCCAACCCTACCGTGGTTACCATCAGGAAGCTTTGGGTACAATCTTCTTTTAGAATTTACTGGCAACTGTTATGACAGTGAAGAAGGCATCAGGTCATCCTCCATCACCTCAAAGAGAAAACCAGCCATAATTCACTCACCTTTTTCCTCTAGTTCTTTCTCCTCCAGTTCTTTGGAGCTAACAGTTGTGATTGACTCCTCCTGCAGTTCAAAGGCTTTGTTTTCTGATGCTTGGCCAGCAGCGTTGGATTCTATTTCAGACTTGTGCAGCTGTTCCAGCACTGCCTGTGCTATGGGCACCATCATGGCAGTGGTGGCTGTGTTGCTGATCCACATGGACAGGAAAGCTGTCACAGACATGAAACCCATGAAAAGTCTGGAATGAGAAGGTTTGGGAAAGCTGGATCAGAACTCAGCCCAGCAATGCTCTTTTTGCTTTTGTTACAAAGATTGAATTACAGATTCTGGGTTTGGAAAATGTTCAGCAATTCCCACCCAGCACTTTGTCTCACCCTGGTCTACTTTGTGAACAGCATGGTAAGATTTAACATTAGTTTTTCTTTTTGCAATTTCAACCAATTTTTTACATTCTTGTGACTGGGAAAGTGGAAGCTGATAGCCTGGAGCAGACAGTTTGTCTAGTCAGATCCTGCTTTTTCCAACAAAGACAAACCATCTCAATAACACATGGCAATGCATTATAATATATTTTGAAGAGGAATTGCAAGCTGAATTTGATCCCAAATGGCAATCAGTTTAAGCCATAAGGAAGATGATCTCCCTTTTTTTTTGTTGTGATTTTATCCCACCTCTATTATTCAAGATTCTCTTTTTACTCATCTAAAGTTCTAATCCTCATTTCAGTCTTACTCTGTTATTTGTCTCAAAATTATTCTTTAGATGAGATGTAGATTATATATCAGATGAAAAGGGTTTATCCTGTATGCATTTTTATTCTATTGCTTTGTAATTTCCTTTGGTATTCCCTCTTCTTATGAGCTGAGACAGATTAAATAGGGTGGTGTAGCCTCTGTAGAGCTTAAAGTTCTAGTTTGGAAACCATTTGTTGTTTTCTAAACAAGCATCCCCATATTTTCTCTTCTCTTTACGGTCAGGGTAACAGTCAGAGAGTCCATGTTTTCTGTGTTTTAGCTGTGCTCCTGGCCAAGCCTAGCAGCACCTTTGTCTTTCCACCATTGACTCTCTTGTTGCTATTTCTCCACCTAAAATCATCTGGAATTCAAAACAAGACACACCAGCACTGACTCACTTGGACTGCAGGAAAGAATTTGTAGGGTATGATTTGCAGCTTCACATAGCAGACAGAAACCAATGCTAGAAGGTCCTTTATCCTTTAGCATTTCCACGACTGTTACTCACAGGGCTGGTCTGACCCCAGTGATAAGCAAGACCCGCAGAGCCACACGTTTGTGTAGGTCCCAGTTCTCAATGGCAATGGCCATCAGCAATCCTCCAATAAACAGCATATTGGTGTCCTTCAGGTATTCCTGACAGACCTGTAACGTGGGACAAGGGAGAGGAAATAGTCACAAGAAGCAAGAGAGAAGGCATTTTCTGAGGGAGGTTGTTCCAAAGACGTTAGCATGGAGTAGCTATGAATTGCCTCTAAGTAGTGAATTTGCCTTGATTTCAGATTAGCAGCTCCACCCAGAGCTCACTCTGAGCTCATGCAAGTTGTGTGCTGTGGAGAAGACAGGCAATTCCCTGTGCAACATCAGTGCAGGAATGGATAATATAACCATATTTCTGGGAAATAATCCCAGGGTACGAGACACTGATGGATTAATACATAGGCAAATGTGTATGGAGTAAGATGTCTTACTGTTGTTGAATCCATGATATTCATTAGTGGGAACAGCAGGACGGGCAGGAGAGCTGTGACAGCCAATGGCAGAGCTTCTGTGCACCAGAAAAGTGCCATCAGTATGATAATGTAACCACATTCGGCCTCCTGACAGGGGAAGAGGACATGCAGTCAGAACACACTGTACATCACACTTGGGCTTCGAGGAGGCAGTGGCCTCTAATTACATTCACTGCCTAATCAAGTGATTAGAGAGAAGGCTAGTTCCTCTCCTTCTCCCTCCTCTATCCTCTGGCCTGTGCAGATCCTAATCAGATGACAAACTGTTCAACAACCGCATCAGAACTGTGAGGAACAGACTGAGCCTCCAGTGAGGGGAAAAAAAATAGAAACTTAGGAAAAGAAACAAATGGATGACTTTGAACCTTTGGTGATAAGGGATTGGCAGTCACTGCATTGCCTTCTTGATTGTGCTGATGGTGTTATATTGGGTATTTATGTCCTTGAGTTGCAGACATAGTTACTGATTCAATCAAGGTTTCTTCACGTTTTTCTCCATGTGTTCCAGCAGGTGCAGAACCCCAGGCTGAACCCCAGCTGACTCCAACAGCCTTGATTCCTTGTGCTGTAAATATTGCTATCATTTTTCATTGGATTTTTAGCTTAACAGAGACTTTGACAGACTCATAGGTTCACTGACAGACTAGTCACAGGTCACTTCAGCTTCCTCTGGCTTTGTCTTGTTTGTTTGGAGAAATCATGATCCTCTATTTCATGTTACTCTTTCTGAGTAAACATTGATTTAGTTGTGCTTTGGAGAACCACTTCTGATTTTACATAAAAACATGTTAAATCAGTCCCTATACACTGAAAAAGATCGAAAATGACTTGACACAACAGATTTTCATACGGTTAAGCTAGGGAAGAAAGCAAAAAGAAGTAATATTGCAGGTTTTGGTGTCTTCCTCATCTTGGAACTCATGCAATAATGGGTGACAGCAAATCCAAAGGAAGGAAAAAGTGGTTGTGTGAGCTTGGGTCAAAGATATCCACTAAAATATAGTGGATAGCATGAATGAAATTGTAGTGGTGCTTCTCAAGGCTGGAAGGCAGAGGATTAAACCAAGGACCTGGAATAATGACAGACAGCACTGAATTTGTGATGCCTTAGGACATGCTCAAGACTTCTGAACGTGGCATGGAGGTTACAGAGCTGCGAAGGGTCAGAGAAGTAAAGCTGAAAGAGATTCATGAAAATTTGCTTTTTTTTGAGCAGTAACAACCTTTCCATTTTGATCATCCTTTTTCTCCCATTTTGGTTACTAAGACACTGTTGGGTGTCTTTTGAGACACCCTAGTAGATATTTTGGGGTGTATTTCATAGGCACAGTGCTGTTCTCTTCCAGCCTGCTGTGAACAAGCTTAAAGTAAAAGCTTTTCTCCAAGTCAGTTGTCCTGTAAGGACATTCATCTGTCTTTAAGCAAAATTTTTAGCCTTGTTTGCTTTCAATTATAATAGTTTAGTGTCCATTGCTGTGTCATTATAGGGCAGGTTAATAGCTCAACAGGACAGAAAAATGTGAAATTCCATCCTGTGAGCTGCCAGCTCACACCAGTGGGTGCAGATGCACTAGCTTTTCCTGCTCAGCAGTGCCACAGTGCATAAATCTAACACAAAAAATCCTCTTACAGGTTGCAAAGGGAAAGCTCCAGGACATTTAAAATTTTCGTGGTGTTGCTGACTTACATAGAAACCAGAGAGAGTAATTTTCAAAGAGGAACTGAACCAAGACTGCCAAATCATTCCACAGGTAACACTGAGGACTTACTGTATGTAACTGCCTCCAGCAAGTGAACTTGAACTCGTGGCCTTGGGACAACAAAAAAAGTAAATAATCTCTCTCTGGCTCCTTAGAACTTTTCTGATCTCTTTTCACTTCAGTGACTCTTTTGCCTATGTAAAGTTAACTAGCAAAATAAAAAAAGGTACTTTTTCTGGTTTTCTTCCTAGTAAGCTTTCAAGTGATAATTAAAGCTATTTTGTTTGCATTGTGAGGGAATAAGAAGCCACACCTGAGGAGTTACCCCATTGCACCTCCAGCAAGTGCCACTCTATCATCTGTGCTCCAAAGTCTCTGATAACACCCAGAAACAGAGCTGTGAGGAAGAAAGAGCTTTGGGACAGCTTGGGAAGAGTTAGTGAAGTGGAGAATGAAACTTGGAGAAGGAGATTACGAATGAGGAGTCAGTGAGACAGGCAGAGAGCAGAGGACAGAGCTGGGAGTTGATGTCCAAAGAGCAGTGACCGGAGAGGTAGATTGGGATGAGTTATTTCATGATGCTGGAGCTGTAATAAGAGACCTGAAGGACAGAGATTAGATCTTTCTGCATGAAGAGACTGAGAGTGCAATAAAGTGAAGAAGCAGCACAAGGTTGGCAGCCTGCCTGCTCCCAGAGCTCTTTAAAAGATCCATGTCCCACAGACACCTGACCCACTCCTACAGCTTCTTGTGCTTCACTTTTGCTGAAGGAACCCTAAGCAATGTGTCTTCTGCAACTTGACATTTTGAACTTAAAAACATTGATTGGGAAGATTCTTACAGAAATATGCTAAACCAAGAGTGAACTATGTTGTATTTCTTCCTTATATATCAGAATGCCTTGTCCAGCTGACCAGGAAAAATGTCTCTTCTATGCAGCAGTGACAACAAGGAAGAAAGCAAAAGAAGATGTGGACTGGATACTAGTAGAAAATCAGACAGGGGGTTAAAATTGAACCTTAGGTTATAATTTAGGTTCACACATACAATCTTCAGCTAAGTCCTTTGCTAAATCAGTCAGATGCAAAGCAAAAGTCACAAAATCACATGTCTCTCCATGTTCTTCTAGGAGATGCAATCACAGATGTATCTGCCTGTCCATCTATGCCCCATTGCTTTTATATTCCCCAAATATTCATAGTCCAGGAAAAAAAGAAAGAAATCTTCAAGCAATGAATGAAGGTTCTCTGAGAAAGAATCTGTATGTTCTCTTCACTCTGTCACTTAAAAGGAGCAGCTGTGAGATGTGATTTGGCTTTTAGATTGCATTTTAAAAGTTCTTACCTTGGTAGGCAGAGCCAGAGGCAGAGGGAGAAACACGAGGGGTACCAAGACTAGGATGAGATATTTCCTGCAGGCCAGGACCTTCTGGAAGAAGCCAGCCATGGTGCTGGAGCTAGCCCAGTGCTGAAAGGCCTGAGATCTGCTGCTGGAGACTATATAAACACTGGGGAATATTAACCATTGACCTCAGGAGATTGGGTGTTGTTTTTGGAACTGTAATCGGAGAAAGAAGGAAGAGAACAAAGAAGGGAGGGGACAGCAAAAGAGTGTCCGACCAGGAACTTTCTTAAGACAATCTTCCTGAAAGGGGGTAAATCTGAGAGACAATTAACTCCTTGTGGACTAAGTAGGTTTAGTGAAAGCATCCTGAAATGATCTAAGCATCAATGCAAAATGTTATATTAATATCATTGTGTTCACTGAGAAATTCTTTGGGTAGCAAAATCCACTGGATAGTGCCACATCAAGACCCCATGCAGAAAGGGACTGACAGTTCTTACCTTAGATCTCAGTGGATTGGGAAAGGCTTGACTACAGGGCATCACTTTGCAGACAGTGTGCTATTCCTTTTTCACCTTTCTGATCCTGCTTTGGGCACTTGCAGAGTGTATTGGATAAAACTAATAAAGAAAAAAAGATACTACAGGGAAATCATCAGCAATTCTTGTCCCAGTGGCAGGAAACTTCCAAAATACAAGCTGTGAGTTACTTGATTCTGTAAATACACAGGAATGGTACTAAACTTTTTCATTCCAAAGGGAGTGTGTTGTTAATGTCAGTTTGATGGCTTTATTTGGTAGATCATACAAGCTCATCCCTCAGCTAATGATGATAACAGTTCCATTTTATTGGTCTAAATCATCTCAGTGCTGTTTGTAGCTTACTCAAGCAGAGAGAGAGAAAGGGAAGCACAGACATTAAGTCACCCAATGTCAGCTCCACAAAGAGCTTCTGCTGTTTCTCCCTCATCCCTTTTCTGCCAGGGCTTGTTTCCTTTCAACAACATGCTTATGATGGAAAACCAGTGGGGTTTCTGTTGCCAGAGCTACACACTCACAGCTCTCTTGCAAGCTTGACTTGGGCATATCGCTCACAACAAACAGCATCACATTACTTAATGCCAGCCCTGAGCTTTAGCATTTCATCCTTGGCACAAAAAGAATGAGAAAGAGCTTTCAAATTAATTCTTTTCCCCCATATTTTGCATCCATTTAATGTTTAATTAGTGCCTGAAAAAGAGTAGTGACAAAATCAGCCAACAGTGAGGTAATATTTCTACCTTTTACTCTTGTGTCCTAAGGTTACAATGAAAACCTAAAAGAAAACATTGATTTGGCATCTCTGCAACATGAATGTTGGCCTGTAGCTGCAGCCTCATCACTGGAGTGCAAACAACAACATGGAAGGGTCTCAGCTGATGAATTGTGCTGGTTCTGTGCTGGTTTCCACTGTCATGTAAGTCCTGATACTTTCAAAGATGCCAAAAATGAGCTCTGTAAGTGTGTTACTGCAAAATGAATGGTTTATGTCTTGTTTGAGCTTCTCCTGTGGTCCATGAACACTCCCCTCAGTGATGTCAAAGGAGCCATGCCAATTTACATTAGTTTGGATGTACTCCAGTTTATATAAACAGGTTAATCTAATACTCTGAATCGTGTGCTTTGAATTTAAAGAGCAACTTGGTCTTTGCTTACTGATCTGCTCTTTAAGGCAGACCAAACCTCACAGGAAATCAAACAGCAATGCCAAAACATCTTTTCTTAACAGAGTTTATAAGTTATTTTGTCCTTTATGAAAAGCAGTATTTTCTAATGTGCTGTGATTTAATAGAAGTGATCACATATTGCTAACTAGATTTTGCAGGTGTGTTTACTATGTTGAGTGTAATTTTTGCATTTTTTGGAGATGTGAAAAAACCCCAGGGTTTAAGTTTAAATTTCTTTAATCATCAGGCTTGGGGTGGAGTGGCTGGAAAACTGCCTGGCAAAAAAGGACCTGGGGGTACTGGTCAACAGTGAATGTGAGACAGGTTGTGCCCAGGTGGGCAAAGGCATCTTGACTTGTACCAACCATAGTGTGGCCAGCAGGACCAGGGCAGCGACCACCCCCCTGTACTGGACACTGGTAAGGCCCCACCTTGAATCCTGTGTTCAGTTTTGGTCCCCTCGTGGCAAGAAAGACATTGAGGGGCTGGAAGGAGTCTAGAGAAGAGCAATGGGGGTGGTGAAGGGTCTGGAGCACAAGTCTGATGAGGAGAGGCTGAGAGAGCTGGAGGTGCTCAGCCTGGAGAAAGGAGGCTCAGAAAGGACTTTTTCAGTGTCAGATGGGAAGACACACAAGGCGTGGCCGAGGTCACTCGGTTTGCTCAGCCTGGAGGAGAGTGAAGAGAGCCCTCAGCACAGTGTGCACCTTCCTCACAAGGGGCAGGGACTGTTTGTTCTTGTCTGTCTGGTGACCAGCGACAGGACCCGAGGGAACAGAACAAAGCCATGGCTGGGGAGGTTTCGCTTAGATATTAGGGAAACTTCTTCACTGAAAGGGTTGTCATAGTATCATAGAATAGAATCATAGAATCAGCCAGGTTGGAAGAGATCTCAAAGATCATCGAGTCCAACCCTACTGTCATTAAGCCCTGGCACAGGCTGCCTGGGGTAGTGTTGGACTCACCATCCCTGGAGGGCTTTAACAGACGTGCGGACACTTGGGGACATGATTTAGCGATGAGCTCGGCAGCGCTGGGTTAACATTGGACTCAGTAGGGCTTTTCCCACCGAAACAAAGGCACGATTCAATGCAACACAAACGATGCTGAGCGCTGCATCCCCAGCCCCGCACTCCCCGCAGCGA